TAAACGCTCTCACATATTTGTCACAAGAAAACGAACAAAATGCGTTTTCTGCTTTTCATTTGTTACCACAACAAATCTTCGGCGAGGCTATACGTGCAGATGAATACTGTGCAACGTTTATTTATTTATTTATATTTTTTTTTTTGCATGAAAAAAATCGCGAGCAGAATGCAAAACACCAAGACTGAAAAACCTGTAGTTGGCTATCACAGGACCCGAGCTTTCTTGTTTGCTACTGCCACCTTCTCAGTCATTTCTCCATTGATGTATCTCGCGTAGAAGAGCATTTGCGTCACAACGAAGAGGCACTGCAGTTTTCAAAAGTAGTGTTTGCACCCCAGCCTTCCTGTGTCGCATTCTCAGGGTAGCTAAAATGTATTTATTTTGGCTCGAAATAGATCGCAGAAACGTCACGAGATCAATAAAACAGCATTATCATTTATGGACAACTGCAGCGTTAAGAAAATCGCAGTTAACATAAAGCGAATTTAAATTAACGCGCGCTTATAAACACGCCAATAAGCATGTTGCTGTCAGGCACAGGGAGCATGAATACGCTTACGCAAATGAATTCATTTCACATAGCCAACGAGGGTGTCTCACAATTCGTACACTGTTGCCGCGAAGCTGTAGCAGGTACTGCAAAATAACGCTTCTAATATATATCGCACGTTCACACGTAAATCTCCAAATATACACACACGAATCCGCGCTGATCAGCTGATCGGAAGTGATGTCTTGTAATTCTTACCGCTTAGCCACACGTCTCCGAAATGTCACGCACACGCAAGGGAGCGAGGTTGTCACACACGTAAAGAACACACGAAAGGAAGAACTCAGTTGTTTTCACCAGTAGCAGGTCTCGACGTCGCCGAATACAAATACGAGAACAGCCCGATTCTTTCAAGTGACTAAGACTTCAAAACTCCATTCTTTCCTCAAATGCGGCTTTGGTATGATGCCCCCAGCAGTTTACGCTCCGCTTCTTTTCCAGTAGTGCAAAACTATACAGTTCTCTTTGTTATCATCTACAAAAACCCCATGGCAAATATTACGACGGAATTCCGCCTAGAAGTTGATTAAAATCGCTGTCCAAGTTTGACAAGCACGAATCCGCTGGTTTTGGATGAGACGTGCGGGCCAGACAACACTGCCCGGCTGCATTTCCGCTTCCTCCAAATTCCTTCTCCCGGCACGTCCGTGACGTCATCAAGCATGTACAGCTTCTTTTTTTTTTTTTTTCAATTTTGTTTTCTTTCCCGGGGAGAGCACGGGTGGCGCCAGCGCCGTGAGAGACGTGAGTGACGCGCTCGGCCGGACCGCTGCTTTTGTAAGAATTTTGAGTGACAGGTTAATCTTCTATAATCTTCTGGGAGGAGAATTGCGACGCCTGTGCTAATCCAGGAGGCACAAAGGAGGATCCGGATAAGAGGGGAGCTCCTCCTTCTCCTTGTATATCACGTGGGTGTACATGCTTGGTGATGCCGAATATACAATGTTGTCCGGCTTTGCCACCGTTTCGGTTTCGGTTTGTGATCATAGCTAGAGTAAAATTACACGAAAAATATTTTATTTTTCGCGAAACAAAGGATTGGGGATTGTTTTTGAGTGCTTCAAAAAGCAAAATCAGCCACTATCTCAAAATTTTTGAAATTAAGCGGAGTTGCCCTTTAGTACACAAACACAGAGCACCAGAAGAGGGAAGTTCGCGGTATTTTAGTCCGCACACGACCACAACACAACGGTCTATGTGCCGGAAACCACGAACGATAGACGCAGCCATTTCTCCAAGTTGCTTGCCTTGGTGCCGAATGCATACTTTTGAACACCATGTAAAAGGAGGAGAGGGAAGCTGCTTTTGTAAGAACTTCGAGGGACAGGTTAATCTTTTATAATCTTCTGGGAGGAGAACAGCGACATCTGTGCTTATCCTCTTGCTCGGACCCTCGTTTCTGTACCCGGACACAGCCATTCTCCCCCTACAAGATTAGCCCGTCGCTCGAAATTCCGACAAAAGTTGCTTTCCCCACCCCGTTCACTTCGAAGTTGACGGTGCTGTGGAAGCTACGTGCCCGTTGGGCCAGCCACACTTTTGCCACGTGGTCACGCTCCCTCGCGCATACCCACGCGCAGATAATGAGGTCAAGTGGCTAAAAGAAGGCGGCTGATTGGTCCTGCAAGCGCATAGCTTCCACCGCAAGGTCAACTGGGGGTGAAGGGAATAAGTGAGGTCCGGTGCAGTGTGACCTGCGTTTGGGTCGGATGACGCGCTTTGAGTACCGCGATCGGATATATCACAGTGAAAAGGCAGAGGGGCTTTCGAAGGGAAGGAGGTACGAAATTGTCCGGTGTAGGGTGCCTTCATGTGCGCAAAGCGCACATAAAGGCTCCCTAGTCCGGTGTGTTTTCAAATGTTCGTCAGACTTTTGACTTTCAACCTTCTTTCTTTTGGCCCACTGAGCGATATGCTATTAGTAAAATCCCAATCAAAATTCATTTATCCCAGCCCAAAATGTGTTTCATCAAAAGTCCCAGGATATGTTGTCTCAATCCGGACATTATCACACTGGCAACAGTCCTTGGTAATACACTTTCTGAACCCACACAAAAACGATGTTTCACGGCGCATCCACGGCTACCGAGGCCAGTCAAACTGAACGGTTCGGGTGGGCTTGGACACGAGCGCTGGAAGCGGCAGAAAATGGCAGCGCGTCACATTTTTCTCGGAGCTTGTCAACTTCTCCGATCCAGTAACGTTGGCCACGCCGCCACCAAGTCGCCAGAGTCCGTAAATCTATGTTCTCTTCCTTCTTTTTCGGGTTAAGGCTCACCTCCGTGCACGATGGTGGTACCTGTGATCGACACAGCACCAAAGCAAAACACGATGCCAGCCACTGGCCGCACACCACCACCACACCGCGAAAAAGGCGAGCACGCTACGCCGCCGACACCGTGGCCGTCGAGGAGGGACCTCATACCCACGATGCTCATACCTCTGCGCCCTTCGTGGCGGCGCGGAACTAACTACCCTGGTTCGAGGCTAGCTCTGAATACAATCTGGTCGCTCGCTCCCCGCGGGAAGAGCGGCCAGAGACATCATCTAAAATTCTAAATATATTTCTTCAACCGTGCTCAAGAGGCATCACTTCATTTCATATTTCGTTCTATGTACATAGCTGAGTAAACCCACCTACCACAAAACAGATAGCCCTAAGTAGGCCCGCCTTAATGTGTCCTCCTGTCCGTTTTTTTTTTTTTTTTTTTAAGGTTGTTTTTTAAGGGCTTGTTAAAGGTCCGTTCAAACCTTTTTTTTTCAAGGTTGGTCTTACTCGGTCGCGAGAGTGTGAACGGGCCTTAATGCGTGACCGCATCCAGCTGCAGCAACTACTGGACACTGCAGGCGTAGTACATTTCGAACTACACATTGCCCTTGAGCCAACTGCAGCAGGTTTTATGATTTCAGAAAGGTAGAAAGGTCCCGGATGTACGCGGCGGCGCTGCGGTCGTATATGGGCTTAGGGATCCGACCGGTTCCGCGCGTTCGGAAGGCCGAAGCGAGCAGGTTAGGCTTGCGGTTTGGCCGTTTGGCGGTATGGCAGTGCAAAGTTTCTCTCGTTCTGAACTGATCTTTACCCCGTGTTTGCTGTCATTTGTGGCCAATAAAGTGTCATGCCGAATTAGAGTTTAATCGCGCAGCAAATGCAATGCGAGCCGCACTGGCTGTCAGCTTCATACAGCCTATCCAGAACATGCTTTAGTGGCGCCCTCTCGAGCCGTTGACACGGAGTGCGGCAGCCGTAAGCGCTCGCTGAGCTCACTACCCCTCCCCTAGTTCACGGCCACTCAAGCGACCAAGGACGTCATAAAAAAGGTTATTTTTTGCTTCTTTTTTTTTTGTAATTTTAATATGCCTATAACTTTTAAATTAAAGCGAAATTCGATAAACGTTCCCTTAAGTTACTACGTTGCAAAGAAAAAACACTGTTTCTTTCTTAAACAGTCTGGTTGGGAGACGCGTGTCAAAAAAAATAAATTTTACGCCGAAAAAAAAAATTTTTAGAGCAATATTGACGTCAAGAGAGATATAAATTCTGCGCGCAACGTCCATGACGTCACGGAATGGTCATTCGCTCAACAAGATGTTCATTCGGTCTTTCCCCTTCAAAGTGAAGGCGAGGCCGATCCACCTCACCTCCATGCGCCCGAAGTGCCGAGAGAGAAAACAAGTAAAAACGAGGTGACTACGGACTAAATCGCGTCTCGCGCCGTCAATATTGCTCTAAAAATATTTTTTTTGCGCCTAAAATTAATTTTTTGTGACACACGTGTCCCAAACAGATTGTTAAAAAAACCGCTGATTCCTTCCCTCGCACGTATCCGGGACGCCAAAGATGCAAATCTTCAAAATGTGCTATAAAATCAAGCTCTCGAAATCGACTCTCTATCCTTAGCGGTGCGAGGAGAGCATCTGCAGGTGAAGTGTGCATGCCGCCGATAGTTTCTTTTTGTCTTGCAGCACATTTGCTAAAACTTGCCAGAACGCTCAATTATGGTGCACGTTTTCGTTGTGAATTCGCCATTATCACCATTGGGAAATAACTAGAGCAACCCATCAGAAAACAGGGTTTGAGGATTTCCAGGATGGAACAAGCGTCTTAGGACGAGCTTTGGGGAAAACAGATAAGCCACACTAGGCACAAAGGTACTTTTGGGGAGTTCCACTGCACCCCAGTGGAGCCAGCAGGACCTAGCTTCCTTGGTCGAGGGTGTGCCCGCGCTCGTTTGAACACATGCTTAATGTATTTCCGTACCAGAAGCTCCTGAACTGGCGATTGCCGAAAATGGGGTCCAAAGTCCGTTTATGTACTTGGTAATATTTTTTCCCCTTCAACAGCGTAGTGTAACATTAATGAAAATCGTCATGTCAGGTTACTAGTCTGTTTCTTGCTGACCCTGATGACGGCAGGAGAGCCTTGCTTCTTTCTTTTTTTTTTTTGAAGGCAGAGCTTGTCTGGTACCACATCAGGATCGCTCCCGAGGTCAATGAACTGGATTATTTAGGTTGCACAGTGAGTGGGAGGAGGCATTTTTATGAGGTTGGTGCAACGCATGGAAACTACAGGTGAAAATCAGAAGCGTAGAGCCGAGAAACTTACCATACTTTTTTTTTTTTTCCATCTCCCCCATGAAGAACATCACGAAGAAAACCTCACTGGAGAAATGCTCACCGGAGAAGAGCTCGCCCACTTTTTTGCGGGTCTGGAGAAAAGCACACCAGTCTTTTGAAATACCCCGAGGAAAGCTCATCTTGAATTAAACTTTTTAAAACATTAAATACAATGTGGTCTTATTAATTTTATGTTTATTTGATGAAGTAAATAAGTTATACTTCCCAAGAGTAAATATGCTTGTTGGGACCAAGCAGCTCACCTGGATTATGGTGAAATTCCCAACCAGTTAGAAATGCAGCTGGGCCCAACTAGTAATTTTGCCAGAAACCAGCTATGCTGGTCCCAGCCGAGACAAACTGCAATTGGTTGCAGCTGAAGGTGTGGCCAGAAGCCAGTTTAGCTGGTTTTAGCTATTATTGGCAGCTCACTCGCCACCGCCATTGACAGTTGCATGGTATGGACACAATGCGTGCAAACGTCATTTTATTTCAAGTTTAATAGCTTGTGGCTAGAGCTTTCCAATGTAACTCACATTGGGACAACTACTAGTGTCATGATATCCGAAACTGTAAAAAGTTGCAATTGGACCTAAAACTAAATAAAACAAAGAATAAACATAGGGACGGGCAGAACAGGTAAATAATCACATGTTTTTATTTCATTCATCAAAGATGATTTCTTGCTTTCAGGCATCATTGTTTTCTTCCATGCTTGCCAGCTGCAGCTGCAACTTCCCTAAAACAAAGGCTAAATATGCGTTAAATGACTTTACGGGACTATAAATTTTCAAATATCAAGCTTAGAATCATAAAAAAAAAAAAAAATTGCTGCAAGGAAATTAGTTGTGGTGGTAAAAAAACTCCAGGCATTGCATTAAAATCTGCAGAGATTAGTTTTACCAGCCCTAAGCATCCTAAACAACCCAAATTACATTCATGCACGGCCGATTTGTGTATTAAAAATAGTGATCAAAGTTCCCAACACTTACCGTCGGCACAGAACGACAGGTGGCACTACCGAACCTTGCTGAATATGGTCGAGCGACGGACGGTTCCTGTCAGCCACTCGAGAGCGATGGGTTCTCGTGTGAACAAGCTGGACTGGTCGGCCACTCATCTATGGGGGAACCCATCGCTCGCGAGTGGCTGATAGGCGCCGTCCGTTGTTCAACCATATTCAGCAAGGTTCGGTAGTGCTATCTGTCGTTCTGTGCCGACGGTAAGTGTCGGGAACTTTGATCACTATTTTTAATACACAAATCGGCCGTGCATGAATGTAATTTCGGGTTGTTTAGGTTGCTTAGGGCTGGTAGACTGAGTTATCGCCATACACTCTAAAAAAAGCCCGTGCGTCCGCTTTCCCGCACAACACTCGGAGTGCCAATCACGGCAACTTACGAAGGCAGTTCGGCGAATGACGATGCCGAAACATCTGTTTAAACTAAAAAACGCAGCCTGGGTTGTGACATTAAGCAATGCAAAACGTCACGCTTGCATTGCTTAAAGGAGCGGTGCAACGATTTTATGATTAAAAGAATTTGCATCTCGTCATTTTTACGTTGTTTATCGTGTCCCAGAGGATAGAGAAAACACTTCCTTCATTGAAAATGTCGCGATTCCGCTGCATAATCGCAAAGCAAAAGTCGAGCTTTTTCCCCCACCTGCAGCCCCAAGTGGCAGCCGAAGGAACTACGACGGAAAGATTACGTGACCTCGCTCGGCTCTAAGCTGCAGCATAGCGCCCGCTAATGTCAGCAGAGAGAGGGAGGGGAAGCGTCCTCCGAGATAGCACACGGGAAGCTACACGGCACTCCGAATGACGTCACTGGGAGTGCGACCAGGTGTGACCCTGAAAGGGGCGGTGCAACAATTTTCGGACTTCGGTCAAAGATTTCTGGAAGTTGCCCCCTGATACTTCTGAAGTAAAGAACAGAAAACCGATTTCGCCTGCGTGTCCTAGTTGTTGCGTAAAAAAAAGATAAAGATTGGCATTTCGGGCACCCCTCAACTCACTCCCAATCTTCAGGGTCACACTTGGTCGCACTCCCAGTGACGTCATTCGGAGTGCCGTGTAGCTTCCCGTGTGCTACCTCGGAGGACGCTTCCCCTCCCTCTCTCTGCGTACATTAGCGGGCGCTATGCTGCAGCTTAGAGCCGAGCGAGGTCACGTAATCTTTCCGCCGTAGTTCCTTCGGCTGCCACTTGGGACTGCAGGTAGGGGAAAAAGCTCGACTTTTGCTTTGCGATTATACAGCGGAATCGCGACATTTTTAATAAAGGAAGTGTTTTCTCTATCCTCTGGGATACGATAAACAACGTAAAAAGGACGAGATGCAAATTGTTTTAATCATAAAATCGTTGCACCGCCCCTTGAAGACTGGGAGTGAGTTGAGGGGTGCCCGAAATACCAATCTCTATCTTTTTTTTACGCAACAACTAGGACACGCAGGCGAAATCGGTTTTCTGTTCTTTACTTCAAAAGTGACAGGGGGCAACTTCCAGAAATCTTTGACCGAAGTCCGAAAATCGTTGCACCGCCCCTTTAAGGGACACTGACAGGGTATTTATGCTCGCCGAGGTTTTTAGTTGTACGTGACATATGAGAGCTCAACTACCCAGAACAGAATTTGCGGCTCGAAATTCGGTTTCTTTCCGCCCGAAAACCGCCGATCAAGAACTGGCCGGTTAGAGTCTCGCTCACTCTCTTTTTCGCGGTCACGGGCCGTTTTCTAAGGTATCGATGCGACCACCAAATTTAATCAAAGTCGTGGGTCACTGAAGGCACACACTCAATATTAAAAATAGAAAAAAATATGAAGAGCATTTTTTGTGGCTTCTAAAAAGTTGCAAATACGTTGATTGAAAAAAAAGTTCCACAGACAACCGGAAGCATTCTGTGCGTTCGTCGTTTCGCGTATCGTGGGACTCGCGGGGACGGCGATGGCAGCGGACGACGGGCGTGGGGCCTCTATTTCAGAACTGTCGTTCGTGGTACCGGCGAATTCTGTCTACCGTTAAAAGAGAAATTTGGGACTGATCAAAAGAATTGGTATTCATCCCGTACGACACGCCCGGCCACCAAGCCGATTTGCACGAAGACGTCGCCGAGCCGTCGCTCCCTTCTCGTGGCTGAAGACATCGATCGCTCAAACGTCAAGCACGACGTGTCTACTTCGAGTTGAATATGCACGCGTACGATTTCTTTACTAGGTGCGAATGTCCCCAATGCGTGGTGCTTCCCGACTTCGACCCGGGAGTGCTTTTGCTAAAGAAAAATCGACAGCAAACTTTCCAACTTAGTTTACCGGCTGTATTATTACTAAGGAAAGAGACCCACCAGAAAAGAGATGCCCCAGTTGCTCAGTGGGAAAGACGTCCGGTTTACACGCGGTAGGAGCGGGTTCGATACCCAGTGAAACTATTTTTTTTAAACATTTTCCAATGTTGACATACTTTTTTTTTTTTTTTACAATCATCACTGAAGAAACAAACAAAAAAAAATAACAAACAACTGTTGTGGACGATACTTCGCTGAATTAAATGGTATGGGATTTCCGTTTTGACACCTGCGAACTCAATGTTATCACTTTCCACAAAATACAAGGAGCATATACAGGGTGTCACAAAAGAAAATTTACACGGTCTTTTCGACTGCAAAAATAAACTAGGCGTCGCCGAATGCTCACTCTCCGCCCAGAGGTAGAGGTAGAGGTCACAACCAGATGCCAAAGTTTCACCCCGATCCGATAACTTAATCAAAAATTATAAGTGATTTTCTGAAAAGTTCAATGGGAAAATGGAGCCCATTTTTACCTGCTTTCGGTTTCTGGTGCCGTAGAGCCCCATGTGTTTGAAAACTTCGTCGGCCGCCATTTTCCCATTGAAATTTTCCGAAAATTACTTATAACTTTTGATTAAGTTATCGGATCGGGCTGAAACTTTGGCATCTGGTTGTGACCTCTACCTCTACCTTTGGGCGAAGAATGAGCGTTCGGCGATGCCTAGTTTATTTTTGCGGTGAAAAAGACCGTGTAAATTTTCTTTTGTGACACCCTGTACATCAGGTAGCGTCCGCTTTCCGAGGTGCCCGTATATGTTCTACAGGAATTGCAGCCAGCCATTGGTCCCGATCCCGTTGATCTTTCGGAAACTCTGTCGCACAATGCCCCTTTTTTTTCGGACGCAGGAGATGTGAGCCAGCTGTTCACGCAACATCTTAGGTGCATTCGTTTCGAAGCCGATCATGGAAATTCACCACGGGCACTCACTACTCATCTCCAACTCCTCAATGTACAAAACAACTCATCTTGGAGTACAGAACAACGAGCGGAACAAACATAACTGCAAAAGAATCGCACGCCGCATGTCGTGTCGTCTGCTACCGGAGAGAAGAAAAAAAAAACAAAAAAAACCGCACGGTTGGGTGTAGCCACGTGACTTCCGCCACTCACTCTCTTCTCTCCACTTCTCCGACCTCCGTCGGGTTTCGGTTTCGGTTTCGAGCAGTTGCGTCTTCTGGCTTTATTAAAAAATACGCTACTCTGTTGCAAAATATTAATTGGGTAGTCCTCCGACACCATAATAAAGCACCTGGCAAGAAATGAAAAAAAAAAATTTTGGTGGGTGTCAGTGTCCCTTTAATGTCACAACTCAGACTGCGTTTTTTGGTCTAAACATATGTTTCGCCATCGTCATTCGCCGAGGTGCCTTCGTAAGTTGCCGTGATTGGCTCTTCGAGTGTTGTGCGGGAAAGCGGACGCACAGGCTTTTTTCAGAGTGTAGAACAATGATCTCCAAAAGCACTTTAGTGCCCCTTTAAGGCTACCAAGTTTCCTATCAGCCTCTGAGACATACTTCCTGCTGCATGAAGAAAAACAGTCTGCAAAGCTGGTGCACCGGAAAAAAAATGCTTAAAGTGTGCGTAACCTCGCACAGAGAAAAGCTAACAGAAACATGGACTTAGCCGAGTAAAAGATAATGCAACAATAATGTACCTACGGGTTTCCTGCCTCCTCAGCTCTTCCTTGTTCACGAGCTTTGCGACGTTCTTGGCCAAGGGCTTGACGAATATCTCGGGCATGCCGTTGGAGATGAGCCAGGCCACGCAGAGATCTGAAAAAAAAAAAATTAACTCCTTTACTCATAATC